TTGATACAAAATAAAGAAACATGTCATTATTTTTCTCGGCAGTGTACACTACAATCATACGTCACGTGCGAACTAACACAGTGTATTAAGGTGTCGTGATGTCATCAGACGACATTACGAGACGGGGATCCGTCAAGTTATTCGGTACAATAGCGGAAAATGTTCTAGCTGAAATAGCTTTGACTATTTTAAAATGTAACCAACATAGAGACGGAACTTCATAAGGATTGAAGTCGTCGTGACCTAAATGATAAGACGTCCGGTGCATTCGTGTTGAGCGATGCACCGATGTTCGAATCTCAGGCGGGTACCAATTTTTCTAATGAAATACGTACTCAGCCGTTGTAACTATACAGCCGTTGTTACTGGAGCCCATAGACATCTACAACGTAAATGCGCCACCCACCTTGAGATATAAGTTCTAAGGTCTCAAGTATAGTTCCAAGTTAAAGGCCAATGGGTATGTCTTTGATGTTATTTTATGTGCTTAAATATAATCGATTAAAATCGATTTATTAACTCACTAATATAATATAAAAAAATATAAATAAAACGTTTTTAGGTATTCCCAAATACTGAAAATGCTTTATTTATATACTTAAAATGTTTATTTAATACGTAAAAGGTTTTGATGTTGGAAATATTTTTCCCGCAAAAATCAAAAACCTTGTTTTTTCAATACAGTAACTTTTTTTAAACTACTTATTGTAAACTTTAGTGGCGCTCATTTGGAAGAAAGTAATTGCATATTTTTTTTATGACAGAATTAATCTATTGTCCGCTTTGGGCCTGAAATGGGCATTCCCCTTTTCAGGATAAGTGAAGGCTTAGTCTGTCTGTTTAAATCTAATTGTTCGCATTATAGTCGTTTAAAAGATAGGCGAACGTGCTCACGGCCTATCTGGTATTAAGCGTTTGCCTATAAACAATGCGAGCTAGTTGAATCAAATATTATCATATTAAGTGATTAATGTATTTCCTACTAGTGGTCCCGCAGTAGTCAAAATACGGCTATAATTAATTGAAATTGTAAGTTTGTACACTATTATGATTCTATTTTCAAAGACTATTATACTTCTATAATCACAAATTTCGCCAAGACTACACTATAGAAAAATATTAATAATGACAAACAATATTTAATCTATTCTCAATTTGACCACAGACGTCAAGAACAAAAGTTTGACAATAAATAGTATGCATGCGTGTGTGCGCCAACTACATTGTGTGTAATGTTTTTTTTATTGGTTTAATGTATTTTTTAGGCATAATTTAAAAAAATATTAACATTATGCACTCCTTCTCTATATTTTCTATAAGTGTGGGAAATTTCATACTCCTCCGTCCGCGCAATTTTCGTAAAAAGGGATACAAAGTTTTTCTTTCACGTATTAATATATTATTATAGATAATTAAAGTATCTCAGCCACCCCGAGGTTGCTACAGAGTGCTAATTCACTTCCCAACCATTCCAAGTGGTAGTGCTCATGATAATGTGACATAATGAAAACATTTAAAACGTCGTGGCCTAAAGGATAAGACGTCCGGTGCATTCGTATGTAGCGATGCAACGGTGTTCGAATCCCGCAGGCGGGTACCAATTTTCTAATGAAATACGTACCTAACAAATGTTCACGATTGACTTCCACGGTGAAGGAATAGCATCGTGTAATAAAAATGAAACCCGTAAAATTATAATTTGCGTAATTACTGGTGGTAGGAGGTCTTATGAGTCCGCAGGGGTAGGTGCCACCAACCTGCCTATTTCTGCCGTGAAGCTGTAATGTGTTTCGGCTTGAAGTGTGTGACAGCCGTTGTAACTAAATTGAGACCTTGGAACTCATATCTCAAGGTGGATGGCGGCATTTACGCTGTAGATGTCTATGGGTTCCAAGTGGGGTGTGAGCCCGTCCACCCATCTAAGCAATAAAAAAAGTCCTATTTTCCTATAAATGGAAAAAATCATAAGAATCCTCTGGACGGTAATATGGCCGAAAAACAAAAATTAAAACACTGCCATCTACTGAAATTTACGCGAACTATGCATCCGTGAAGTATAACAGCACAAACATTCTGGTTTTTATTATGCTCGTGTTAGTATTGTAGTAATATAATAGATGGCGCTTCTAAATATTTGTCTGTTCAAATAATTTGAATAAACTTTTTGTAGTATATTAATAAAAAAACTAGATGTCACTCTAATCGTATTTTGATTTGCAATACAACTTGAAACTAATTCACGGTACATCTAGATGCTAAGCGGTTACCTGGGCCTAACAACTTGACAATTGGCCATCTTACTTTTAAGTCTACTTCATCTACTTATACTGGAAAAGTAAAAATTTACAAGTATACAGTATACACATATTTAGAAATTTTACAGTTTTCGTTTTTATTACATGCTATTTATTAGTCTGTGGAAAAAAGTTTGTACTATCGTAACTTGTGCTATCATTTAAAAGCTTTTTGTTGTTTTAGATGCCACTAAGTACCTTGTGTCATTTTGATATGCCTCATTAATTTTTTAGTAACCTTTATTGAACTATCAAAAATGAGAAACTGTTATTACTGAAAAATTTTGAACTAGTTTGCTATTCCCCGATAGATGGCAGTAGCATTATGTTTAAAGTAACTTTAGAAACAAATATGTAGGCGTACAATACTCATAGTCCAAGTATACTCCAAGTAAGTACCAATTTATTTATGTCCAACAACATACTTTTACGTAAGTATATGTGATATATGAAGTCTCAAGCTCATCGTACCACATTTTTCTCTTTGACATACCAGTACACCGGACGTCTTATTCATTAGGTCAGGTATGAACTGAATTCTTTCAATCGTAATAGAATACCGCAGTTGTTAGCAGATAAATATGTTTTATGCGTTTTATGCTATGCGTTTTTACTTAACCATAAAAAAATTACATTATTAAGTCGTCGTGGCCTGTAGGATAGGACGGCTGATTTACTCATATCGAACGATGCGACTGTACCAGTGTTCGAATCTCGCCGGCAACTACCATTTTTTTCTGATCAAATACGTATTTTTACGAAAAACTTTCCGATTAAGGAAAAAAAAACATCTTGTTATGAGATATACAAAATATGATTTATTTGATTACTATAGATACAATTGAGAGGCTATAAAGACCGCTGTGGACAGGAAGACGTGGACGGACATGGTGCATCGGACGATCAGCGATTCAAGCTAGACACTGCCTTCAGTAATGAAGAAACCGACTAAGGAGAGAGAGATAAAATTGAGATAGATAGATATCAAATCTCAAATTGAGTGGCGGTATTCAAATTGTTAATGTTTATTTTTATGTTTGAGAGGCTACTGGTAGTCCGGAGGCCTTTTAAGTTTTACCAGGGCAGGTGGGCGAGCAAGGGCTCAACCAGGAGGGGTGGGATTTGCTACCCGAGCGCCTCCAAAGGAGACCTAGCAACTCAAGAGTAGCTGTTTCACGAATGAATCTACTACCGGATCGGAATCGCGACCCGCTGAGAAGATCCGGCGAGAAACTCAGCGGGCTGAGGTTTAGGTTAGGTTGTACTAGTCGAACTCTTTGCCAAGTTCGACTAGTACGGTTACCGAGGTCCCATACTCCTAGTGTTAGAGCTAAATGTGTCTAATGCATGGGTTATTGGGTCTGATGGATCCGTAAGGACGCGTAATTGTTATTGTCTATAGATCCTGGTAACCAGTCCATATTTCATCGCGGCGTGACTGTTCACGTAACCTCTTGACATCTCGGCTGTTTCGCCTCTTAATCTATACTTATTACTTATTACTTATATCTATACTAATATTATAAAGCTGAAGAGTTTGTTTGTTTGAACGCGCTAATCTCAGGAAGTACTGGTCCGATTTGAAAAATTATTTCAGTGTTAGATAGCCCATTTATCGAGGAAGGCTAAATAACATCACGCTAAGACCAATGCAAGTGGAGCACCAATAAAGAATGTTTCAAAATATGGTTTAAATAGCTCTTTAATATTCTATAATTCAAAAATATTTTCACTTTCTACGTAAATGAAGTGGGGGTAAAATTTAGCGTCATGCCAAAGCAACTATTCCACGCGAATGGAGTCGCGGGCAAAAGCTAGTTACAAATACAAACATAATATAACGGTACTTTATTTTTGACGAATAATAAAAACATTGACAGTATAATAATAATTATATCCTCAATCGTAATTACGGACGCTCCAAGGTTTCCATTCACGGGATGACCTCCTCGAAAATTCCACCGCTTGCTGAGTGCTATTCGTGAAATGAGGCGAACCACTCCTAACTCGCAATAAGCCACTTCGTGATTCATTCGGGAATGTTTTCGTGATATGTAAACAAGATTCCGAATAAAAGAGACTGTGGTTCAGGTAAATGAGCGATCCCAGAGCATAGAATACATATGTTTTTTTTATTTTTTATTTATTGTTACTGCTTAGTTGGGTGGACGAGCTCACAGCCCACCTGGTGTTAAGTGGTTACTGAAGCCCATAGACATCTACATTGTAAATGCACCACCCACCTTGAGAGACGTTCTAAGGTCTCAGTATAGTTACAACTTTAGTACCCATAATATAAATAACTTATTAGTAATTAATTAATTGAAAATGATCCTCTGAGTTTAATCTGAAAGTGTATATTGAAAGAATTTCTATAAAAAATATGTGTCGAAAATATATTTTTTTGTGCACACATAGCTTATATCTAATTATAAATTAAATTCAAATGCTTTAAAAATGTTCATAGTAACAGATTTAAATATGTCTGTCATACATACACATCCAGTTGGCTGAGATGAGCCGAGTTCATCGACCCGTAATTTCAAGAAAGAGGTTTTAACACACTCTGACAGTGATAGACATTTAAAAAAAAAACAATTCAAATACGGAACCCATTGTCATGGAAACAATTAACAGAAGACTTCAGGAAAAAAGGAAAATCGTTGATTTGTTTTAATAGGAAAAATAATTGAATAGTGCTTCAAAATGTTTTCCGACGAAGTGGTGGTGAAACAAGAGAACTTGTCTGCCGATGAAATCATAAGGTTCGATGTTTCTTTGTTTTTTTTTTCTTTTCTTTTAAAACAAAAAAGCAAACGTATTTTTCACGCCACATTTGAAATACGGCAACTGTTTTAGGATTGCAATAAATATTGGTTGCCCGATTTTGATTGTGACAATAAAATGATTGTCGAAAAGAAAATGAATTAAAGACATTCTTTAATTTTATTAACGTTCTAAGCAGTAGGTACATCTCAGATACTCTTCGAATTGACTATTGATATGATTCTATTTGAATTACACAAAATTTGAACTATACTTACGCGGAGTTTAAAGTTCTTTCGTTGTGTGATTTCTTTATTTTTCTCACGTGTCTATGGGTCCACAATAAGTTCAATAAAAAAAGTATCAATTTTAAACACAACCTTGTACCGCTGTCTTTAAGTTGTTAAGTTGAAAAAATATATTACTTGAATCTACTTATGTGCTACCTACGGTATGTCAATGGTACTATGAAAGCAATCCGCCCTTGAGAGTATTAACAACATCTGTACCATGTTTCATGACAATCGGATTAATAGCTTAGGATCGGATAGGCCACATATATAGAACCTTATTTTATTTATTTAGTAAAATGTTAAAGACACCATTGTTTTTAGAACAACGAAGCGGTTTAAGCTTTTGATCGCCGAATAGTCAGATACGCTTTGCATTCGGAAATAGATTTTTTTTTGTATAATATATTTTTCTGATAGCTTTGCGTGAAAGACGACGTGAAAGACGATATGGGTGAGAGGGTAGTGAACGAAGAAATGGTATATGATAGAAGTGTATGAAAGGAGAAAACATGTTGTCCCGACCCCAGGTAACTGGGAGAAGGGCAGGATAATGATGATGATATCTTTCTCATAACTTTAACACAGGAGAAAGGTCACTGCCATTAGCAATCATAAATACACATAAAAACATTTACCGGCTTAAGGTGCTGTTTACATTGTGGGTATTATCAAGCTACGGGTGCCTTCCTGCCTATTTCGAAGTAGTTATGCATTCGGCTTTGAAAGGCGGGACAGCCGACAAAGACTCCAATTGGAATTTCGACCTTATGTCTGAAGATTAATGAAGGTATTCACGTTGTATTATGATAACATCATTTCGGTCTAAAATCCAATTGCACATGGGCAGCTAAATAAATTTAACCTAATTCAAGCTACTTACAAACCTTTAGGAGACTTAGAAATGTGGTATTCGACCAGTTCAGTCCGACCCAAATTGTATTAATCAGTGGTTAGGAACGCGTTGAGCTGATACTAAACCTACTTTGGTTTTTCACTTATCTTTCTATGCTAAACAGTAAAGACATAGCGTCTTATGATATCCTGTGTCTCATTTTCAGCGTTCACGAAGTTTGTCTGGGTGAGAAATATGAAAAGAAGGCTCCAAGCGCTCGGCACGAATCAATTTTAACCTCGTCGGAGAAGTACGATGTAAGTATTACCGGTAAACGTGGTATTGAACAAATTTTTCTGGTTATTATAATTAATAACTTAATAGACTGGGTGGAAGATTCAATTTCCATAACTGGAGAATTTTACAACCATTTTAGGTTATAATCTTTAAATGATTGCTTTAAAACATGTAATCTAGATAGAGAATGGGTCCCTAAAAATGTCAGGCGAACTTTTGCAAATGCCGAGATTTTCTGTACAATGATATTTCTTTGTGAGCTGTCCAAATAATGCTGAATGGTTACAGTCACTCAAGGGTGCTAGTGATGATACAACAAGGCTGCTGTCTGCTGTTAATGAGCAGGAAATGTACAGGAAAGTGAGTGAATCAGCATCTAAATACTACTTGGAACTGCTAATATTCTATCTTATAGACCAAATAAGGTCAATCTTCCATTTTTTCGCGCTGTCTAGCAACGATATAGATTCTTCATGTCCTTTGGCTTCATTTTCCAAAACTATGTTCCTCTGTATCTTCAAACGGAACTGTTCATTCAAAACCTCAGAAATGTCGATAAGTGGCTCTCATTTTATTTTGTATGCAGAAAGATACCACTCCCGAAAAGCATCACTGCTCACAACTCAAAGCCAGAGTTAGAGGAAGAGAAAGGTAGAAACTGCAACAGCGGTTTTAACGCTGAATTAGTTTAAGGAAGACTTTTTTAGAGAAAAAGACGGTCTAGTCTTTTTTTTTATTGCTTTGAAGTGTGGCCGAGCTCACAGCCCACCTGGTGTTAAGTGGTTACTGGAGCCCATAGACATTTACAACGTAAATGCGCCACTCACCTTGAGATATAAGTTCTAAGGTCTTAGTATAGTCTGGGCTTATCACTAATCAAAATTAGTTTAAGGAAGACTTATGTTTAGAGAAAAAGCCGGTTGTTTATTAAACACTGATCCTATCACTAATAAAATATCCAGATGGATGTGTCTCGGTCCTTCTTCCGCGACGGCTTCTTTAATGAAGACCAGGATCAGTTCGCTTGGACAGAAGAAGACGGAAACATTGTTTCTCTTGTCTCGGAACCTGGGTTTGGAACTACAGGACAAACATCTTTCGGGAGGGATTTGGATATGGGTTTGCATGCTCAGACAAAGGTAAATTTCATGGAATTTATTATTACTTATTACTGTTTGTTGTAAACTCATATAAAAGTAGGTTAAAATACGTCATTCTGTCGCGAAAAATATATATAATTTTTGAGTTTCATATTTCGAGTTTCTGTTGGAATTTAAGATGGATATCAAATTTGAGTTGTTTTGAAGTATGAAAAGAGAGGTCATCTTTCATCGTATCAATTGACTATGAAGCTTCTCCATTTTCTTCTTCTTTAAGAAGAAAACCGGTACATGGTAATACTAACCAAATGACGCATCTGTCTTTACCATCATCAATGTGCTAATAATGAGCGCTCAGGTATTATACATAGTTCGCAACGACTTCAGCAACCAGCTTTGGATCTTTCTAGGGCTGCGTACCTTCAAATCCATTATTTATTTATAGCAGGCGTCTCATATCTTAAAACTTTTGGGAAATTTGGTTGTAGAATGTTTTTCATGTTATTATTTCTAGGAAGCCCAATCATCGAGTTCCATGTTTGTAGCTCGCAAAATGAGTACATCTTTAGATCGGTCTTTTGGAGGATCTCAATTAGTTTCTTCCACTACAACTGGAAATCCAGGTGATTTTGTTTATTTTTTCGTCACCAGAACAGAATCTAACGTGTGACCCAACTAACCTAGATAATCAAATGACTTTATATGTTATAATTTTTAAATATCTTCGATACATTTGCCATATTCTTTTGTCTGTTATTATTTATGATTCAATGGAGAATTAAACGCAGTTTTAGATCAACCAAAGAAAAATCAGGGTGCCCGTAAAGTGGATAAGTCGGATCCTCGTTCCAAAGTACATTACATGAAGTATGTGAAGAGACTCGGAAAGACTGTCAAACTATGGGAGTGTGGTATTTGTGAGTGAGAGAGTAATATTTGAAGTTAAATTTTTTTTTTTAAACTTTTTTTTTTTCAAAATACAGATTTTCATTATATCGCCGCAACTTCAGAATTGATGTGGCTTAACCTAAAATTTTTAGATAACTAGTTTTATACTTCAAGCGACTAATAAAGGTGTATTCTATAAAATGAAACTATTCTTAACATTTGCCTTACCAAGCTATTGTGGATAATTGTAAAATTTCTAATTCCTCACCAATTTTCTGTAGTTTAATATATTACAATAATATAATATATAGTCTTAATAATAATTGTCCTCCCTAACTTTAAATTCAATTCCTATCTTGACTAGATTATATTGAAAATATAAACACATGCCCATGCTCATAGGGCTATATGATAATTATGCGTAGGTACTTGTTGATAAACATAACATTAATCTTATTTGCAAGGTGGAAGAGAGTTCCAACATCAATATACTTTAATGCGCCATCTTCCAACTCATACTGATGAGAGAAATTTTCACTGTGTAACCTGTGGGAAGAGCTTTCGACAGCTTTCGACTTTAAGCCAACACCGAGCTATACATTCTTCAGAACGGCCCTATGCTTGCGAAGTGAGTTTTTATTTCTAATATTGTTATGTACTTTTCAAGCCCAACATGCTTTTCTGTCGATATTTGATTTCACTTTGATCCTATCACTACCAAACTTAAGTTTTTCCCTTCAGGATCACTCTAGGCTAATCTAAAAATTTCCTGAAAGTTTTATCTAAATCGGTCCATCCATTACGGGGTGTATTAGGGGTAGTAGTCTAGTCCATAGAAAACATTGAGACATTGACTTTTTATATGAACAGATTATTCATTTCCTTCCGTGTTGAATTTTGGTCGTGTTTCGAATACATAATTATTACCGTATGCCTAAAACTATATTTATATTTATAACTAACTTTTAATGATCCATAAAGTGTTGTTAGTTCTTATAGATAAAAAATAAACTTTAATAATATAATTTAAAACTAGGTATGCAATAAAACATTTAACCGCGTCTCTACCCTGATATCCCATTGCAAGACCCATTCCAGTGAGAAACCCTACCGGTGTCATCTTTGTCCTAAAGGATTCCATCAAAAAGGTGCTATTTTTTAATCATACTTTTGATATTCACTATGTTGCGACTGTATTTTTTTTCAATGATTTTTTTAGATTCTGTCTTGCCATCCATCGTTTATCAATATTCCTATAGGTAATATCAAAAGCAGGCCATAATTTCCAATTTAAAGCTTATAGCTTCCAATTACAGCTCTGGTAGCTCTAGTGATATCTAATAATAATCCTCTATGATTGCAGGCAACTTGAGAAACCATTTGTTTACGCACACAAATGAACGTCCCTACCGTTGTAACATATGCTTTAAGGGCTTCAATCAACAGTCGAATCTGGTCTGTCACAAAAATAAGGTGAAATTACACAGTCTAATCTTTATTTTTAAATTGTATTAAATTGTATCTTAGAGTCTCTGTTATATCTGCTTCTACTTCAATCCTATCACTTAAGATTCATTCCCCAATTCAGAAACTTTTAACAGAGTCTCGCAGTTTTGTACCAGCTATTGATTTTAACTCTCACTAGATACTTTATGCGATGGTCCATTTAATTGAAAAAGTGCTTTATATAAATATGCTTTACTAACTCAGGCTCATCCAGATGAAAACTCATCTTCATCCAATCAAGTCCAAATTGCTGCCCAAGGAACATCTATTAGCCAAACTGGATCAGATTCAAACAGGTAATTCATGGTTTTTTTAAATAGTATTTAGGATCTTCGGTATATGTTGCTGTGATTCTGTTGGAAACTTTATGTCAATTGTGTCGCCGATTCTAAACTTATTATGTCTTACGGTATGGGCAAATTGGTGCACCGCTAATCTTGTTACCAGATCCTTTTAGCGATTCGCGTTTCCAATCTGATAGTTCATTCACTCGCGAAGCAGCTGCTCTGGTTCTCCTTTAGAGGCACTTGGACTGCTGTTTTGCATATGCCACACCTCCTGGCTGACCTCGTGCTTGCCTACTGGTGTTGGCCAAACAGAAAGCGTTGTGAGCATCAGCTAGGTATCCTTCTATTCAAACTAAGCAAACAAAGATTGCGGCTATCTATTATAGTACAAATATAGCATATGGTATGCATGAAGTTAGTTATTCAAAACTTTTAAATATAAACGAACTCGCTACAACAATAGTTTAGCTATTTTGTAAATTCGTTCATGAAATATAGAAATTAAAACTCGACTACTTCCACCGGTTGTAAATATTGAGGTTTTTATGGGGCCTCATCAATCACACATTGGCATAGCTTTGACCTTGCCCGCGAGGCAATTAAAAGTAAGAAATTATAACATTACAGACCTCCATCAGCACCGTGTGAGGTTTCATCGACAATGGGTCACCTAATGCCACCTCTAACAAACGAATTTGACTGGAATATAAAAAATGACTGGCAAAACAGGGTGTCTAATCAAAGTGACCCCGAGGAATGGGGTTCTATGATCAATGGCGTCGTGGTAGACGCCATAGAGACTTACCACATGAAAGTTGCTAAGGCTACTAATCAAACCCCCTTCGCTTTGTTGAAACCGGACACAGGAATTCCTGTATTAGTCAAAGTTGTTAATGTCAGTTTGCCAGGCGGAAAGCAGGTACTACTAATGGAATTTAGCATTTTTATATCGATTGATAAATTCAACTTGTTTCATAATATGTATGGTATTTAGTGTACTTGAATTTTGTGAAATGTATTGGTTTTTGTTATAGCTTCTAAGTGATTGGTTTTCAAAATTTTTATAATATATTCCCTGATGCGTCTAACTAACCTTTATTACCCTGGTGATCTGATGAGCTTAGTAGTTACTATTAGTAGGTCGTATGCTGTATCACTAATGTCAAATCATAAAACATCGCTTAGGACTGCTTTCAAACCTAATTCTGTTCAAATCAGGCTGGTAAATATCATGTTCAAACTCTGTTTTACGGGGCTTCCTATTTGTTGGTATTCAGTTGATTTTTGGTACTTAATTCGGTTAGATTTCAAATGGTAAAGTGTGGTAAATTTGGTTCTCTTTATTCGATTCACACCATGTGCTAAAAATTAAAATAGATGCTTGTACCTGCTACCGCTGAAGACCTGCGGGCTGGCGGCAAAATCGTGGTCCAGAAAGAGGGAGAAGACGCTGTGACTCAAGTATGTAGTTAAGCTACCGAAAAAGTAGAATGTAATGAAATGTCTCGCAAAAGCCGAATGGTCGTCCATAGGCTTACAACTTGAATGTCCCACTTCCAAATATGACGTCAAAGTCTCAGTTTTATTGTATGACAGTTATTTCTCTGCTCTCGATACATATAGCTGCTTCGTGGTGCAAATAGCCCAAATTTCGGTATTTACCCTTGATAGCTCAAAATACTAGTGATCTAGATAAGATTACTATTTTGAGCTATATATATATTGAGCAATTATTTTTATATTAAAGATAGAATCTTCTATCTTTAATATAAAAATAATTGCTCAATAATTGCTGTTCGTTAGTCTCGCCAAAACTCGAGAACGGCTGGACCGATTTGGCTAATTTTAGTCTTGAATTATTTGTGGAAGTCCAGAGAAGGTTTAAAAGGTAGATAAATATGAAAATGCTCGGAATTAAATAAGAATAACAATTTTGTTTTCCCTTTGATGTGTCCCCCGTCGGACGGATTCCTTTTGTTTGTTTTAAGTTTATTTTATACAAAAGTTTAGGTCTTTTATTTATCGATTGAGGCAGGCGAAGTCTGTTACGTCAGCTAGTAATGAATAAAAATTATTACCGAAACATTTAGCTAAGTGATTTTGAATATTTTCCAGACCTATGCCTTAATAGTAGGTATTTTTTTATTTATCCTAAGTAGATAATTTGTCGAAATAAATGTAGAGGTTGATGTTTTTGAGTATTTTTTATACAGGATGTTGAGAGAGCGGTTCAAATCAAAGTGCCCGTTGTAGCTATAGTTGTACCGAAAATGCAGCCAAGTGGCAGACTTCACATCTCCGTGGAAGAGCCCCACCATGTATACCACACGACTTTGAATTCTGACGGTTGGTGAAATATTTGAGAGCATTTTTGATACATTTTATAATATTTTGTACGAGCAATTTTGAGGAGAGAGGAAACTTTTGAAATCATTAACGCTATCGCCCTAGACGTGGGATTAAAAAAATGTAATTTCCCGGGGACACTTTTTTTACCACTGAGTTTTTAAGTTTGAAAATAAAATTACTAACGTAATTCAAGCTTCACTAGCATTTTGTATTTCAAACTATTGGAATTTTTATTACGACAAATTCTCACCTGCTCTTAAGGACTTAATATTCTAATAATAGTCTAATATAGTCTAGTCGAGCTTCTCATTAATAGAAGTCAAACTTCTGAACTCAGAAATTGTATAGAAGTTAAACTTCTGAAGCCAGAAGTTAACTATAAACGCTCTAAGCTAATGGCTTCGACCAGAAATTTTCCTTCGTTGATAAAGCCATCATCATCAATTTCAGTTATAACCGTCAACATTTCCGACTCGTGTACAGTCAAAGATGAAGAAGAGAAAAAAGAATCCACGAGAAATCTGCCATCGCCACCTAAAAACGAAATTCTAAAACCAGGTCAGTCTTTATCAAGTTTCTACAAGGTTTCTACAAGTTAGGTACCTCCTAAAATGATTCTCTAAAATCAGATGGTTCTAGATCTCATTCGGTTTTAGTGAGTCGTTGACGAAAGTATAGAAAGACTTGTCACATAAAAAAACTATCTGTAGATTTATTCCATAATTAAAATAATGAGCGCGAGAATAAAACGTAATGAGTTTTAATTTGAGCATTGTTATTTGTTTTTGTAGATATTATTTTGATTGAGGAGCGTTGGAATAAAACCGATTTTTTTTTGTGAATTACAACATTCATGTCTGCTTTTGTAGTTTCATTAAATATTAAAGAATTTTTGTTTATTGTTGTTGGCAACACAGCTTGGTCAGCTACATTATGGATTTATGTATGCGACATATTATGTTCATATGAGGATGTATTCAGAAATGTTTTTAAACGAAAAATGTTGACGGCTTTTTCGAAATAAAAAAACAAGAGAAAGATGTTTAAAAAATACTTTTTGTTATTTTTTTTTGGTGTTCGTGTATGACAGGTATATTTCGAACTAATCAAAATTACTTTTTTGACTTTGCCAACTGCACAGTTAAAAATAACATCTATACTAATATATCTATCCTCTATACTAATATATAAATCTACAGTGGTTTTTACGGATGTTCCGTTATAACTACTGAACCATGCAACCGATTGACTTAAAACTTGGTATCCATGTAGAAAATACATGTACTTAATAGATAGGCTAATATTTACATGAGTGTTGGACTCCCTAATAATAATGACAATAAATAATAATGTTAATTTTAAATGCCCAGCGAAGCGGGCGAGTACGGCTAGTTGAACATACATTTCAAAAACTATAGTAACTTTAAGTCTCGCCTTATCTTCACAGTGGACTACGATTCTGATTCTATGGTAGATTCAGCGAAGAACTGCTCTTGGGTTAATGTTAGTAATTCTCTCAGGAACCGGTTATGCTGCCAACCATTAGACAGGAGGAAAAAAAAGATTAATATAATGGCTAAATCAGTTCGATTGCTTTAAACTTTTCGTGATAGAGACGAGATTTACCGCATATACAGTTTTATGTCTACGATCTCGACCTGATATAATGTTAAAATTGGCTGATGAATTATTAGGGCCATCAGGATCTCGGATATCTTGCGCGATGCCTTCCCCAACACCTTCACCTCCGCTCGATCTGATCTCAATGGATCTGTTTGAACCTATTGAATGTATACCCTTAGGTGAGTTTAAGATGATTTTTCTCTTGTCGTACGCTGTGTCTTATTGTAGATCTGACTTCAATTCTCTGACCATATTATGTAGTTATAGTCATAGTTATAGTCTGAATTTTGTACGAGTATTTGCAATGAACGACTATTTAATTAAATTAAATATTTATATACTTACTTCGTTAATCACCTGTGTTAAGTGCTTAACAAAGAAATAAATATGAATGTCACTTGAAACGGAAGATATGACATATTTCAACGCATTACGCAAATTGTGATTTTTGTCTTATTCCTCCATCGTGGTAGTAGTTCTTGATATGTTTATTGAAAACAATTGGTACCTGCCTGCTAGGTGGCGTCTTATTCTTTACACCACGATTTATTATTATAAGATGGATCTTACGATTGCCGGAAAATTTATTTTTGAAAAATTCTTTTTGTGGGCTCGACGCAGCATTTTCTTTTTGTCATGCTGTATACGGATTTGAAAAGCTATTATTAGCAATAATAGCAAAACGACTATGTTATTCCCAATTGATTCAAGAAGTTTAGATCGTCCGTGACTTATTAAGACGCCTGGAGTACATACATAGATACCGTGCGGTGAGTTTGACATTTCAACCTCATATCTCGAAGTGGAGGTCTAGTAATCACCTCTCAACACCAGTTGGATCGTAAACTCGTTTTTTTTTAATATACCGTAGATACTTGAATTGCTTTAGACTCTCACACATTATTATATACAATTTTTGGAACGAAGCCTAACCGGGAAAAAACGTCCGTAACGTAATATTTTTATTAGTAATGCACACAGTGTACGACTTAACTTTGTAATAACGTACAAAAAGTAATATATTTTTTTATCATTCATTGACCACGATCTCAGAGCGTTCGTTTGCGCAGTACACTAACTCTTATGCAAACAACCGTGAATGAAGTGTACCACAATAAGATCGCACAAGGAACTTCGTTCCTATCCGGTGTCCCACGACACCACACATCTTTTTTTTTTACTACGATACCAATAGGGACCTAATATCGGGAAGTCATGAAATGTTAAAAATTGTGGTAAAAGCTCATTAGATAGTAGTCTTGTTTAATATATTTGGTATGTTTGTTGAACAGGTCCTCAGATAACGGCAGTCGATGATATCGATCACGTCCCGTCCGACGATTCTGACATATTTATAGGGGAGTTTGAAGTAAGTTTGTTAATGCTGTGTTTGTCGGCGTTACGCCAGGGTTTTCACACATGAGATCTTTTACAATTAAAATACAATACAATTATATAAAACTTTAACATTACTTGTTTATTACAAATTTTGGGTCGGTTATGGCAACTACAACTTCTTTTATACAAACAAATGTAGTTACTGCGAAACAATTCACAATACGTATTTTAGTGGTTTTTACATGACTCTGACATTAATTTATTTTACATAAATTACTTTTAACTAATTTAAACTAACATTGTCATTATCCAACCTAATAATAAATGGCGCCAACAACATCATTCCATAACAATACAATACTTAATTAAATTATTACTGTTAATTTGAATATAAAGTATTATTAATATTTATGCTTTATTCATATTTAATTATTTATACAGTCATTTGTGTTTTAAATAATAATATAAACACACTAGCTGTTTTGAAAATTTTTGAAACTTTAAACCTCCCCATTTCTGCCGTGAAGCAGTAGTGCGTTTCGGTTTTAAGACGGGCATGGCAGCCGTTGTAACTATACTGAGACCTTAGAACTCATGTCTCAAGGTGGGTAGCGGCATTTACGTTGTAGAGGTCTATGGGCTCCGGTAACCACTTCACATCAGGTGGGCTGTGAGCTCGTCCACCCATCTAAGCAATCCAAAATACTTGTTTTTTTTATGGCAAGTTTTTTTATGGATTTCTTACCGGCGTACTTACTACACAGTTTTTATGTTTTATATTAATATGTCATTTGCTAGATCCTCGAATCATTCACGACTTCTGACCTTCATACCTTTTATAGGCAGCGGCTTGATTCTGCCCCTGGCATTGCTGAAGTCCATGGGCAACGGTAACCACTCACCATCAGGTGGGCCGTATGCTCGTCTGCCTACAAGGGCAATAAAAAAAAAAAAAAAAATCATACAACCTAAATAAAAATTGGATTGAAAAAATTGAATAAAAATCTAAATATGAAAGACAAAACAGCTTATATGATGAGTAGGCTTGTCTGTTCTAAGATTTTTAGGAATTTAATAGCTTTAAATTAATCACAATTATGTTTTTCAGGAAAGCATCCCGTTGAGTGATTCTGATTGATATCCAAATTGTATATTGTACATAGAAGATTTTTATGAAATAAGCGAAAATGTATAATTGTATTCAGTGGCGTGCCGATTAAATTTATTAAAGTACAGAATTTGTTTTACTACTCTATCAGGTTGATGACCTTAATAAGTACCTTACCAAAGCAGAAGTCTATTTATATGCAATTTGTACATAGATGGTTATCGCCTTAGTAACCAGTCATCGTTCTCGTCGAACCCGTCGCTTCCGACAAAGGGCTCGGCGAGTAAATTAACCCATAGACACAGCCCACTGAGTTTCTCGCCGGATCTTCTCAGTGGGTCGCGTTTCCGATCCGGTGGTAGATTCTGCGAAGCACGGCTCTTGCTAGGGTTTGTTTTAGCAACATCGTCAGGTTTGAGCCCCGTGAGCTCACCTACTAGCCCGGTGACGCTGACATGGTCTCTCTAGACCAATCTTTCTCAAAGTGGGCGATAGCGCCCCTTTGGGGGAGTTAGAAACGTAGAGGGGGGCGTTTAGAGGCCCAGAAAAAATGGGGGGCGTTGATGTGGGTTAGGGGGGCGATGTATAATTTGTAATTTCATTTACTTTATATAGTATTTTAAATTTCACTAAAATTAAAACCCACCTACTACACATTAACGAATAATTATTTTATATTTATTTGTACCCTGTATGATGTCTAAAGTCTAGACCATCAGCTTAAGTAGGGCAAAAAAGCCTTAATAAGTGCAATATTTCTATCTAATAAAAAACGTTGTATATTTTCTTTATTCCGACATCTGATATCTTAATAGTATCAATGCGGATAAAAAGGGCAATTTCCTGAACGGCAATTTAATGGTCCTACGTTATGACGAACACATGACATATTCTATTGTATGTATTTAATATCTTCACGATCTCATTGTTGGGGGCACGTGAACGGAAATAGACCCTTCTTTCGAATGTAGGGGAACTATAATGAATTGTTTCCCTACTGGACAACAGATGGCGGTGTGAGTAAGAAATTTTGTTGTACCTAGGTGATTAATATGAAAATTTCAAATTCGGTATGTTTTAAACAGCATTAATTTGAAATTTAAACATATTGAATGTATGAATGAGGTGTGTAGCTACGAACTAATACTGGGGTTTATTATTTTTGGAAGTACACTTATTGTCTAGAAATTTTTAGAACAAAATTGCGTAGCTGGTATTACAATGTTCGTTAGATATATTATAGGATAAGAACGTTAAAGTTACAAGATAAATCATTTAAAACACAATTAATGTACCCTAGAACGGGTTTTCTTGTTGCTATGAGTTGAGTTATGAAGAGACCATAATACATTAATTGGGGTGTTCTAAAACTTCCAAGTTCCAACGTTAAATTGATCGATAGGTATTTATAATTATTATTTCGATAAGCAGAAGAGAATTCCTTGCATCAGAACCGCCACCCCACCTATTTCTGCCGTGAAGCAGTAATGCGTTTCGGTTTAAAGGGTGGGGCAGCCGTTGTAACTATACTGAGACCTTAGAACTCATATCTCAAGTTGAGTTGCGGCATTTACGTTGTAGATGTCTATGGGCTCCAGTAACCACTTAACACCAGGTGGGCTGTGAGCTCGTCCACACACCTAAGCAATAAAAAAAAAAGTAAATGAAATAAATAAATAAACCGGAGTTCGGTAACCACTTAAAACTGTATCGAAACAACTTATTCAAAATGTTCTTAACTCATCTACCCGTTGGATACGAAAGGACAAAAAACAAATTCAAGTGATGTGCCTTGAAAACTGGTACTAATTAGTTTTTCTATCTCATTGCTTACTTTCATATTTTATTTTAGTAACTATGAACGTTTAAGGATGGGTTTGAATTTGAAAAATTAAAATCCCGTTTTAGCCTTAAATTAAAATATTAGTATATTAATTAATTAATTATTAAATTAAAATAGCCGCTTTATTATATAATTTAATTCGCTGTAGAATGATCGATAGCAGTGTCCCAAAAAACGTGATATTAAAGTATTTTAAAAGAACACTTTCGTAATATGAACAAGAGATGGCAGCAGTAGTAGCTTTAGTAATAAAACTCCATTTAGGTACATCTTATATCTTACAGTTTCCATTACTGTGCAGTTTTCTTTATCACGAAAGAAGAATGAAGACCGATATTATTCTTATTTAATTAGTTTTATTTTGACGGACCAATGTTTCCGATTATATTGTCAAATGCGTTATAAAAACCTTTAGTAATAAGTCAAACGATTAATGCTGAAATGTTTCGAAAATATTTCCGACATTTTCATTTGAAAATTTTACACTACCCATGAAAATATAGTAGCTACTCTTAAACTAATACATAGTATGGTTGCCAACCGAGCTGTATTAAAAACTATATCCATCATTAGCATCCATTGTGAAAAATACAATTTGAATTTTAAATCCCGTGCAATTATTAATGTTCAATGCGGGCTATTGGAAACCAGTCAATGTGCTAATGACAGTCCGCCAAACCAACGCTGCCGCGAATGATAACCGCGAAAAAGCGCTTGTAAAGAAAGAAAAAAAACGACATAACATTTAACAAGAAGAATGCGACAATAAAATGCGAATTACGATCGTCCAGTTTTTTTCCAAAGCGAGCCACGTGGCGGACACGCGACCGAAAATATTAAAACTAGTGTTAGAACTGACACGCGACTTTTCCCACCAATAAATAGAGAGTTATAAAACGCGGAGCGATAAGACTCAGCGCAATTTCGACTCTAAACGCTGGTTTTAAAATTCGTATTCGTATTTCGCATTCAAATCAGCCAATCGATTAGCGTTGCTCAAATTTGATGTTTATCAGTGGAGGCGGAGATGCGAATTTCGTGTGTGCTTTACCGACGATATTAGGGTTGTCTTCATCTCGTACGCCCCCGACGGTTATCGAATAATACTTCGGCGCGTGTTCGTTGCGTTTTTTATCGAATTTTTATTTCGGCGTGCGAACAGAGAAGTGGCGTCTGGTGGTGACTTGAGCGCACAATGGTCGACCTCGTAATCTGTGGGAGCGTCATCGAAAAATTGTTAATTAAATTTTTTATTTAGGATTTATATATTTGGCCCAAAAAGGTACGTTACTTCGTTAGCGCTAACGTATAAAAATCTTCGATAAAAACTTTCAATATCTACGCAAAAAATCTATTTAATTTTCATCTCTATGTTTTGTTCACTACATTCACTGATCATGAATACTAACTCTTAGTATAACGTCAATTATATTCAAAAATACACGAACATGGCAAATTAAATAATCTGCAGACTCTATGACATTATGAAATTAAATTGTAAACAATAAAATAAAACTAAGAGTTAAAACAAACTATTAATATCGAAAAACACATTAAAATAAACACAGGGTTGTTACTAATCCCTCTCAAGGGTCGTTTCGACCCCCGATAATGTAATATCATTTCATATTTTGATTATTATATCAATGTCGGGCACTCGCCTTTTTATATTCTTTGTTCGTTAATACACACATTAACCCATTAGAAGTCACGTGCCGAAATAATACTATTTCTATTGATATCGTAAAATTGTTCATAATGCTAGTTCGAGATGACATTTTTCTGAGACTTTTGGGAAAATTAGACTGGGCAGTCGTTTGGGTTACTATTTTGATACCTTGCCTAGGCTCAGTGATATGTATCAAGGTTAGGTTAGTCTAATTCAAACTTTATGATAAGTGCCAAAAACTTCATTTTGTGTTAAACTATGAAAATCTTCTCCTGTTAATCGTAATACCTATTAGAACCTAAAAACTAAGTCTATTTTATATTTTTTTAATAAATCTAAACCGAAATAAATATTTTGCTATTTTATTTACGTAGGTCTTGTATATAAATGCATACAAAAAGATTTGTGCTATTCATCGTTGGTGAACAATAATATAACAGCTGATAATGAAAGAGCAAAATCGTAGACAATTTTTCAAAACTCCTAAATACGTTTACAAATATTATAACTAGATGACATCTATAAATAAAAATAACTGAACGATTCTCTGTCCGATACGTGATTTACAAACGAGAAGAATAGAAAGCAATGTCATAGCTCATTACAGTCGCGGGACTGCAACAAATCGCAGCGATTGAGTCGTCAGCCGCGTGCGATCGCGACCAATCGCGATAATCCGCTGCGCGTGATCGACGCGTGCTCAGCGCGTGCACAACGCCCGTCTGCAACCGACGGCCAGTCGTTAATTATGACAAATAATGAGATGAGTATTTACTTTTTTGACGAATTGTTTCAACGTGCTTCGACTTGTCAGGAGGGTACTGGATTTGATATCACCAAATACACAATCCCTCGCATCATCACTGTTCAAGATAACCTTGGTCTAGTCTTTTCGCTTTTTCTCTTCAGAAATAGCTGAATTCGAATCCATTTTTCGTAATCATTTCCTCAATTTGGATTCGCTTGAATGATTCAACTATATTTTTAGTTCAATTAATTATATTGAATACCGACAAACTTCCTCAAAGTGCTCTTAATATACAATAAGATCGAAATTTTATATATGCCATTTAAAAAATTATATCCGTGCATATATAACTCCGATATTCGATAAAATAAATACATGGTTCGATCCACAATAAAAATATGACTAGCGTCCCGCAGTGTACCCACTCTAACCGGCGCCATCTAGGCGGGCTTCGGACAGTCTGCCGACCGAGAGGGCTGGTGGTCGTGGCGCCGACGACCGCCAGTCCGGCGTCCCGAGGGGGAGGGTGATGGAAGAGATGTGCTCCGCACTAAACACTTCACTTTCCCCCCTTTGCCTTTTCATGAGTTCTGTCTCATGCGAGGTTTGGACGTTGGTTGTTGAGCGACAGGAGGTTTTAGTCAGTTCGACTCTGACATACCCCGCCCAGTATCCCCAGAAAAGGGGAAAAGTCCGGCGATTTCCTCCTGACCAAAAAAAAAAAAAAAAAAAAAAAAGCGTCCCGCAGTGTAGGCATATCAAACCCACAG